TACTATATACATATACCATGTTTTGTATATGCTACATATGATTTTATAATCGAGTACGTTAGATAAGAGTGTTAAATATCGTAGAAAAATTTTTAGTTCAACTTTCTTTACAGTTTTTACATCTATTAGTTAATGAAATGCAAGTTTTGAAATGTTCCAGAAATAAAATGAAAGATATCTTTCCCCTAGGAAAGTGTATCTGTTATTACTAAACTTCCTGCGCGCGTGCGCAAACAAAGGAGTATTCGAATACATAATACCGCAAATCATAGAACATAAACATATTTTCCAATAACGAAGAAAAAGAAATCTAAATAAAGGCTAAAACTTTATATCATTTTTTCTCAATATATTAAATAAAACAATATTGTAGTAAATTTGTGTAAAATTCATTACGATTCAATATATACAAATTATACTTTATACGTGCATTTTATTACATACAATTAATACATTGTTCTAACATTAATTATATTATAAAATATGAAATAAATAATACGAAATTTAATAAGAAAGAAATATAAATTGTATATAAGAGAAATATAAATTGTAAATTTTTTTTAAGATGCTACTGGATCAGTTTGTACAGTTTTACTTTCTACTTCAGTTTCTTTATTTAAGATGCAATACTTATTCGCAATATTAACTATTTCTCGTAACGTAGTATTTTCTTCTTTCAAACTGCTATATACTTCTTTTTCTTTCATCTCATTTTCTTCGTCCAAAGCAACGGCAGTTTTCATTACTGCTGCCATTTCATTAATCTTTTCTGCTTGATTAGTGATTATCTGTAGCAATTATTTCACAAAATACAATTGAATTAGTAATTATTCCATAACTGAACCATTCTTAATTATTAATAAGCAATTATTAATAAATGATAAAATTTTAAGAGAATTATTGAATTTAAATTATATATAGCTTCTGATACAATAAATTTTAATAGCATTAAAATGTAACTTATTTTATATATATATACATATATATATATATAGGGCGGACTACTTAATTAAATGGAAACATCTAAATATCTCTGTTATTTCTAAAGATATAGATAAACTTTGTTAATATAAAATAAAACTTATTTAATACTGAGATGGCCATAATATGGCAGTAATAATTTTTTTGTAGGTAGGATTCGAAAATTTCAATGTCATTTCCACTTTTTTAAGTGGTATATTTTTTTTTATCTATGAATCCATGTAGCTTGACATTGTTTATAGAAAAGTATTAATGTGTAAGTTATAACTATGTCCATCGAAAAACTAGGAAATATTTTAATTTCAATCCTACAAAATCTATTGCATGAAAAATAAAGAAAGACAAAGACAATATTCCTATGTTCATATTGTCCTTGTCTTTCATGCATGGATGTTATAAATATTTATAAAGCTAAATATCTCTAAATTAACAGTTTTTCAACATATATAAGTTAATACTTTTTTTTATAGAGAATATTAGCGCATCAAAAAATATATTATTGCATTTAAAAAAATGAAGGTGACTTTGAAATCTTTAAAACCCCTTTACTTACAGCAAAACCATTACTATTATATTTATGCCCCTTTTATATTGAATAACTTCTATTAACAAAGTTTATCCATATTTAAGTCTTCCACTCTGTATAGTAAAAAACATTCATTTTAGTAAAATAATGTAATATTTAATTGTATGTATAATTAAAATGTTTATGCTTACATTAGCATATTTTGCATTGTGCAATGAAGAAAGATCTGTTTTACAAAGACGTAACAAAGATGCTGTTTGTTGTCTGTATTTAGACATAATTAATTCAAGAGCATGATGATGGTCTTCCAGTGTCTTTTTTAATTCCTTATTTTCAGCTTGTAATTCTTGCAAGTGTTTAATTTCTCTCTGTATCCCTGAGATTAATTGTACATGTGGTCTTTGTTTTGCTTCAGTATTTAAAATTTCAACTTCTTCCTGATACTATAAACGAATAATAAAACTTATTATAAATGAACTACTTCAAGTAGTTTTGTACCAAAGAATTATATTAACAATCTAAAAAAGTTTGTTTTCACTTCATTATATTTTTGTTTCTACTATATTAAATTTTATTATATTATATTATATTATATACATATATTTCTTTTTGTTAAATAATACTATAATATATAATACTATACTATATAAACAAATTATTTACCTGCTTCATATTAGCAATTTGACTACAAACTGATTCTATTTCGCTTATTAAATTATCTGCTGTATTTTCGTGATCTGATATTCTAATCACTAATTTTTTAGCATCCAGTATGATTTGTTGAAAAGTTAATGACATCTGTAAATGTATGTAAGTACACATAAATAAAAGCTATTAATAAATTAGTTAAATAGTTATCAAAAAATTATTTTGTTTTGTTAAATATATATACATTTATTAAATTTTGTTAAATATACGTACATTTATTAAATATTATTGTTATTATAAAATTACATATATAATGTTGTGATGTATATAGATGTATTATATACA